CTGAGTTCAAGACCAGCCTAGGCAACGTGAGAAACCTGTCTCTACAAAAAATACAAAAATTAAACAGGCACAGTAGTGTGCACCTGTAGTTCTAGCTACTTAGGAGGCTGAGGCAGGAGAATCTCTTGAGCCCAGGCCAAGATTGCAGTGAACCAAGATGGTGCCACTGCACTCCAGCCTGGGAGACAGAGGGAGACCCTGTCTCAAAAAAAAGAAAGTTTCTGAAACAGAATTTCATCTAATGTCAAAAAATCTGGCCAGGCACAGTAGCTCACGCTTGTAACCTCAGCACTTTGGGAGTGCTGAGAATTGCTTGAGCCTAGGCGTTCGAGACCACCCTGGGAAACATGATGACCTCTACAAAAAATAAACAAAATTAGCCGGACATGGTGGCATGAGCCTCTAGTCACAGCTACTCAGGAGGCTGAGGTAGGAGGATTGAGCCTGGGAGATTGAGGCTGCAGTATGAGCCATGATTGTGCCACTGTGCTCCAGTCTGGGCAACAGAAGAAGACCCTGTCTCAAAAAAAACCAACCATGGCTGTGCACAGTGGCTCACGCCCGTAATCCCAGCACTTTGGGAGGCCGAGCTGGGTGGGTCACTTAAGGTCAACGTGGTGAAACCCCACCTCTATTAAAAAAAATACAAAAATTAGCCAAGTGTGGCGGCATATGCCTGTAATCCCAGCTACTTGGGAGGCTAAGGCCAGAGAATTGCTTAAACCTGGAGGACAGAGGTTGCAGTGTGCGTGCCATTACACTCCAGCCTGGGCAACAGAGTGAGACTCTATCTCAGAAAAAGAAAAGAAAAGAAAAAACCACAACCAAAAGGCAGACAATAACAAAATAACAACAAAAAAATCCCTGGAACTACAAAGAAATACGGTTAATTGTTCTATAATTATTTGAAAATTAAAAAAAAAAAAACAGGACTAGAAGTCTTGGAAATGAGAAAATTATAATTTTTTATAAATGTAGGGCAAGGGAGGTCAAGTACAGAAACAATACACTGGTGAAATATTATTTCCCAGAAAGATTCTAAATGAATTATTGAAGAGATCACTTATGAACCACTGACAAGGTATGCAGTAATCTATAAACAGTAGCATAAGATATCCAAACAGCAACTGATATATAACTTCAAACTTTTTTTTCTTTTTTTCTTTTGAGACAGAGTTTCACTCTTGTTGCCCAGGCTGGAGTGCAATGGTGCGATCTTGGCTCATTGCAACCTCTGCCTCCTGGGTTCAAGCAATTCTCCTGCCTCAGCCTCCTGAGTATCTGGGATTACAGGCATGCACCATCAAGCCTGGCTAATTTTCTATTTTTAGTAGAGATGAGGTTTCTCCATGTTGGTCGGGCTGGTCTCGAACTCCTGATCTCAAGTAATCTGCCCACCTCGGCTTCCCAAGGTGTTGGGATTACAGGCGTTGAGTCACAGCGCCCAGCCACTTCATTTTCTTTTTTGACAGGGTCACTAACCTAGGATTTCAGAGATGTCAGAGGCAGAATACTGTATTTGGATTTCAAGAGGATACCTCTTGTTATTTTATAGAAAATAAAGATTAGATGATATAAAACAGCAGGTGAGCTTCACAACTGAATTTTACCCAAAAGGTTAATTAACAGATTAATGTTAACATAATGATAGTCTACTCATGTTGTATAGCATTGTTCTACCCTTATACATGTTTACTAGTGACCTAAAACAAAAACATAGGCATCATGTTTATCAAATTTATCAATAATACAAACATTTGAGAAATAGTCAAGAGGTAAACTGACATTATCAAGCTAAAATAATAAACCAAATTAACAAGATGATAATTACAGGGATAAACATAAAGTTGTCAATTACATTAAAAAATCAACTACACAGCCTGGCATGGTGGCTCATGCCTGTAATCCTAGCACTTTAGGAGGCGGAGGTGGGTGGATCACTTGGGGTCAGGAGGTCAAGACCAGCCTGGCCAACATGGTGAAACCCTGTCTCTACTAAAAACCAAAAAAATTAGCTGGGCGTGGTAGCACAGGCCAGCAATCCCAGCTACTCGGGAGACTCAGGCAGGAGAACCGCTTGAACCTGGGAGGTGGAGGTTGCAGTGAGCCAAGATGACAGAGCAAGATTTTGCCTCAAGGGAAAAAAAAAATCAACTACACAAACTAATGTGATCTTAGGCTTTAAGAAACAGAGGCACAGAGTACAGTAAAATAGAAGCTGTGCTTCCTGCTGTAGTTTGTATTTATTAGATTATATCTGATGTAATCTAATAAATTCAGACCTAGATAAGGAAACATAAACTCAGGTAACTAACTTGATGAAGAGCCTGAACTTTTATTAAAAATGTCACTTAAGAAATAGCTCAGGCTGGGCTCGGTGGCTCATGCCTATAATCCCAGAACTTTGGGAGGCCGAGGTAGGCGGATCACTTGAGGTCGAGAGTTCAAGACCAGCCTGGCCAACATGGTGAAACCTCATCTCTACAAAAAATATAAAAATTAGCTGGGTGTGGATGGCGGGTGCCTGTACTCCCAGCTACTCAGGAGGCTGAGGGACAAGAATTGCTTGAACGTGGAAGGCGGAGGTTGCTGTGAGCTGAGATCGTGCCACTGCACTCCAGCCTGGACAACACAGCAAGACTCCGTCTCAAAAAANAAAAAAAAAAAAGAAAGAAAGAAAGAAGGCAGGCTAGGTGGCTCACGCCTGTAATCCCAACACTTTGGGAGGCTGAGGCAGGTGGATCACAAGGTCAGGAGTTCAAGACCATCCTGGCCAACATGGTAAAACCCAGTCTCTACTAAAAATACAAAAATTAGCTGTGGTGGTGTGTGCCTGTAATCCCAGATACTCAGGAGCTGAGGCAGGAGAATCGCTTGAACCCGGGAGGCAGAGAATACAGTGAGCGGAGATCGCACCACTGTATTCCAGCCTAGATGACACTTCAAGACTCCGAGGAAAAAAAAAAGGAAAGAAAAAGAAAGAAAAGAAAGAAAGAGCTCAAAGTACTTGGGGTATTTACCCAGGAAGAGATGCCTCCTGTAATACCAGCACTTTGAAAGGCCAAGGTGAGGAGATGGCTTGAGCCCAGGAGTTTGAGAAGAGCCTAGGCAATGTAGGGAGACCCCATCTCTACAAAAAACTTAAAAATTAGCCAGATGTGGTGGCATGTGCCTGTGGTGCCAGCTACTTGGAGGCTGGGAGGATTGCTTGAGACCAAGAGTCCTAGTTACTCAGGAGGCTAGAACTAGAGTATCACTTTAGCCCAGGAGTTTGAGGTTACAATGATCTATGATCTATGATCATATCACTTGCACTCCAGCCTGGGCAACATAGCGAGACCCTGTCTCTAAAAGAATGAGATAAGTGTTATGAAATACTTGAAGACTACCATGTTAACAAGGAATTAAATTTATTTATTGTGGCTTCAGATAACAGAACTAAAGAGCTTCAGCACAATGTAAAAAAGGTTCTAAAAGTAAAGCTTCAATAATGGAGCTTTACTTTATTGGAGTAAAGCTTCAATAATGGAACAGGGTATCTATGAAGCGGAGACTTTCTCCTTAGAGTGTTCAGAAGTTAAAAGACCAACCATCAGGGATACCAAATATGATGTGTTTTCACCTATCATGGATTTATTTGATCCTTCCTAAAAGAAAAAAAAAAAAAAAGCCTCTTAGGGGAAGGCAACATGTCAAAATGGGTAAATGTCAGAGAAGCTTAAAAATTATTTTCTTTGACACGGTTTTAAAGAGACAGAAGACTTTTTCATGAACTCCAAAACTATAGGACCATTTTCTGAGAAACCAACAAAAGAAAAGAATGCTTTTTCCTTTTAAATGAATGCTGCATTTGTTTTTCTCAAAGAAACATCTGTACCTTAATTTTAGTACTTTTACCAAGGGATAGGGGACAATTATAGGCCAGTATGCCAACTAGTCTCAAGAAGAGAGCTGGTTTTATTAGACATTTACATGGAGTTCTATTTACCCCACCTAAAACTTCCTTGCAGGGAGAAGGCTCCTCCTTATCAGACGTGGATGGGAGGCTGCTGTAACACTAACTCCCTCTCCCTGTGGCCTAGGAAAAACTCAGTCTTGACATGCACAAAACAATAACTTCTGAGAACTTCAGAGCAGCTGTGTTCAGCCAGAGCCAGCGACTTTACTCCAGGCAAAGAAGGAGCTTAAGAGTGGTTGAAAAAACAACTTTCATTTTGGGTTGGAAATGAGGAGAGGAAACAGAACAAGATACAGTAAGTGGAGCTATTAACATTTTTAAACCGTGGTAAACAAAGGTGTTTAAAAATTACAACACTGAAACTAAACTTCGATCCACAAGTTGAAAGATGAGCAGTGTTATCACTCTAGCTTTCTCCTAAATGGTAACACTAGTGAGAAAAAATCATCTTGGGTTTAATAGTGCCCTAGTCAAAGCCATCGCAAATTCTAGGATGGAAGACCAAAACAAGGGACTCTGCTCTCTCACTGGGTATTTTTTTGTGCTGCTGCCAGCCAAACTGAAAAATGTTGTGAATGTCCAATCGCAATGCTCTTACCGTGAAATATTAGAACCCAGCTCGGTAGTTAATGCTACAGGGTCAGCAATGAATTGGTCTCAATGTGCTACAGGGGCAACTTCTTGGTCAGGGAGAAAAGCTTCAAATGGTTGCAGAAAACCAAAGGTTAATACAAATACATACTGTGGTTTCTCTTCATAGAATAGCTTTACTGGTATTTCAGACATTATTTCACTTCTCAAAAGTAAAAGGAGAAGAGAAGGAACGTAAAAGCAAAATCTATGCAATACTAAAGAGGTTATTAATTGGCTATATTAGTCCAATTTGTTATTAAATGATACACAACTATAAAACAAAGGCAAAGCCCTGTGCCTTTTCCGTACAGAATGAAGAACTGGTAAGACTACTGAGTAGAGCTGCCAAACTTTTCTTTAGCTTCTTTTCTTACAGACATGTTAACATTTCGCAATAGCCTCCACTTACCTTACATCTTCCATGTTTAAGTACAAATTGTGTTTGATTTCCCCAGCCCTCGGCCTAAGATATTATGGCATATCTTTAGCTTCTGAGTGTGGACACAAAGCAAAAAAACTGAACGTTTTTCACTTTCCTGAAATAACATGTCTATTTTATTTACACCATTTAAAAACATATTATATAAGCTAACTAAAACAAACTGCAACCACCCATTCGACAACTCTTCGAGAATGACCGGGGAAGGCACAATTAACAAAATGAACTTTCATTTTGGTGCATTTCTGCTTAGAATGCCCATAAACACTGATACTCTACAATAATTAAATTACTGTAAAATTTTTAAACACAGGACTCGTGTGAGCTTCCTAAGAAAACTCTGCACACCCCCTACACACCTGTACTTAATATGACATGACCCTCAGAAATACTAAAACACCCTCTTTTAAGTAAAAAACAAACTTTTAAAGTTAGGAAAGTAGCAATGCGGGTATCTGGGTAGGAGGTGCCCTGGGTTGTAAACACCCAGTCAGAGAACATAACAAGCAATTCAGAGCAACATATAAGTCCCTATGGGGCTCCAACTTGGACTGCTTAAGTTCCAAGCCCACATCCCAGTGTTTCAAGAGTTTGGGAAATGGAAGAGAGGGAGAAAGAAAATCAGAGAAGTGATGAAAGTGCTATTTTTCTCCTTCTCAACCCCCATGCCAGCATCTTGGAGGCTGGTCACCAGTCTGGGTGCCATATCCACCAGAAGCCCTAAATCAATATCGCAACCACCTGATACCTAGGCTAAAGACATATGTATACCAGTCATCTCCTTCCCAAACACCTCTCTCATCGCTCTCAAGGCTCATATCCTTCCAGAAGCCATGCCTTATGGAGACTCAGCTCACCCATACTGTCCTCTTAAACTCATTCACTTAATTTTCTCCAAATCCATACTTTCTCTCTGATATCCTGTCCCTGATGTTCTTTTTATTAATTCAGTCGAAAATGCCATGACCCTCATTTCCAATAATCTACCCCTATCTATCTTTCCTGTCAAACCCAACGGGTGTTGTGTCACCAGACCAAGATCTTTGTTCTCATCTCCTCATTCCTACCTCCTACCTATTACCCTTTTCCAATTCCAAGCTCCTAATCCCACTCTTTGGGAAGCCCTGGGTTCCTAACCTAGTTTAGTATCCCTCCTCTTCCTCCCATTCCACCCCATCCTATGATCATTCCTTTAGGCTCCACTAGACTACCGTTCCCTCAGGATTCAATTCCCCTCTCCTTGCCACGCCCTGTGCCCCCCGGGGCTACTTACCCCAAGTTCTCCCCACACTTCAAGTCTCTGGCCCCGCCTTCCCCCCCAAAGGAAGGAGGCGGGAGTAGACAGAGAAGAGGGGCGGCGCTCGGCAAGGAAAAAGCGATCTCCCATTAGCGCTCATCGCCGCCAATCGAGGCTTCCTTCTCCTCCATTGGTCGGCTTTGGCCTATGCCCCACCCTCTTCCTCAGACAGGGCCCGGCCACCGCCTCAGCGCCCCCGTCCAACACACACTGGGAGGGGAGACCCCAGCCCGGAACGCTGGGACTGGCCAGAGTTGAAAGGGAGACTCCCGTCAGATCATGGACTAGCTAATGTTAAAAGTACTTACCGGCTGGTAGCTCCGTTGCCTCCCGCCTGCCCGCACTCTGTCCTACAATCTATCTCCAGCTCCTTCTTTCCCCCCTCGGCGGAGCGGATACTTTCCTCCCGTCCGGCCAGGCGCGCTCAACTCTCGCGAGAAAGCGTGCGGCCGGGGGGAAGGGCGAGATCCGTGGGGGCTGAGTTGGAAAGCGGCCGAGAGGCGGGGCTCTAGGAAAAGAAGGGGCCGGGCTTATTGTGGGCAGGGCTAGGGAGGGAGACTGAGCGAGTGCTGTACACACAGGTCACACGTGTTCGGCTGCAGAGTCTAGCGGGGGAAAAAAGGGAAAAAGGAGAGGATCTTTACAGGTGCCTGTAGTGGTGGTTACTACTATCTTTCAGAGTCATCGCTTCCTTAACGGCAAAGTAATTTAAAATATCCTTAGCCCTAGAAATGAAGTCCATATATGGACAAAGCAATCCACCTGCAGAGCAATTATAACACTACCATTTTCCTAGCCCTATTGCCTTGGGTGAAAAGCTTTTCTGAGTCTCTGTACAATGGGACTAGCAATCTCATTTTATTCTTTCTTTTTTTTTTTTTAAATAATTTGAGACGGGCCAGGATGGTTGGCCAGGATCGTCTCGATCTCTTGACCTCGTGATCTGCCCGCCTCGGCCTCCCAAAGTGATGGGATTACAGGCGTGAGCCACCGCGCCCGGCCTCATTTTATTCAAATAGTTGTAATGATCAAATGAGATACATGAAACTGCTTGGGGATTTTTTTTAATTACTATATTATTCAGCAAATATTTTCACAAAACATAGGGCATACTACGTGCAAAGCATTGTTCTAAGCATGGAGTTAAGAAGTTATCAACCCAGGTAGAATTTATGTTTGAATGGGGAAGGGGAGACAGTTAAAAAGCCACTAAACACAAATGTTTCAAATAGTGAAAAGTGCTTCAGGATAGTGAGACAGAAAGTGACTGGGAGTGGGGAAGAAGCGTAATAGTGTTTGAGAGAAGACCTCTTTGAGGAAGTAACACTTAAACGAGGAGTTGAATTATGACAAGATAGCCTTGGGAAGATTTTGGGGGAAATATCAAATGCAAAGTCTGTATTCAAAAATGTATATGTCTTGCTCAAGACAAACCAGGAAAAGAAAAAAGAAAAAACAGGCTGAGTGCAGTGACTCATGCCGTAATCCCAACACTGGTAGGGTGAGCCAAAAGGACTGCCCGAGCCCAGGAATTTGAGACCAGCCTGGGCAACATGGCGAAACATCAGCTCTACAAAAAATACAAAATTAGCCGGGCATGATGGCCTGTACTTGTAGTACCAGCTATTTTGGGGGCTAAGTGGGAGGATCGCTTGAGCCCAGGAGGTTGAGGTTGCAGTGCGCCCAGATGAGGCCACCACACTCCAGCCTGGGCAACAGAGTGAGACCTGTCTTTTTTTT